AATGCATTCGCACCAGTAATTTGCAGACTTTTCAACCTGTCTTAAAAGGAAGGGGTTTTTCCTTCTTGTTGGAAGATTGCTCGCGTTCAGCCTATTCCCAAAAAGGGCAAGAAAAATCTTCCAGATAACTATTGACCCATATTTGGAATAACACAATCGAGACACATGGAGAACCAAGAGCTGTTGCGCTTGATATTTCTATGGCCTTTGACTGTGTGTGGTATGAGGGTTTGCTAGCCAAACTTTGATGCTATGACTTGTCGGATCATTTCTATGTATGGCTCTTCAGCTTCCTGAAAGAACTTTTCCTGCAAGTGGCCGTCGATGAATATCTCTCGAATACTTTCACCATAGACGCTGGTGTTCCCCAGGGATCCATATTCTCTCCAACCCTCATTTCAATGGATATCAATGACTTATGAGAAAAAAACAAGAATTCAATATATTGCTTTGCTGACAACCGCACAATTGTTTCGTCATTCCATTTGGATTCCAGGACATCGGCTACGGAGGCACATCTTCACCGGCAGCAGAAAATTGCATATCTTAATGAGGATCTAGAGGTGATTTCGAATTGGGATGAAAGTAACTGGGTTCAATTAAATGCCACAAAAACTCAGGCATCGGTTTTCTCCAAGAAGGTAAATGTCTCCGAACCAGGCATAATAATATCAGGACGGACAATTCCGCTTTCTGCTTCTATAAGTTTATTGAGGGTCAAAATGGACACCAATATGTCACTGGTGGCACAATCATGTCACTGTATTATACTCATGTTTGGAGCTCTGCCCCCAAACACATCCTTCTGGATTCCATCCAGAAAAGAGCCATCCGCCTGATTGGAGACGCGAACAACACGTGAACTTTGATAGCCTGGAACATCGAAGAAAGGTTGGAGATTTGTCCGTCTTTTATAGATACTTTCACAGGAGGTGTTCAAGTGACTTGGCACATTTTATTCCACCAAGGGCGGTACATATCAGAAATACGCGACGGACTGTGTCTGCTCATCGTTTCGAGGTTCAACTCAGTACACCTCCAACTTCACTGTTCAAGAACTCTTTCATCTGGAGAACTGAGTTCATGTGGAATAAACTTTCTGAGAACGTTTTTCCAAATGGATTCAATCTCCAGCGATTCAAATCCAATATGAATCGCTACTTTCGTACAGACAACGCTCCGAGAGCGTCTTGAGGATTTTCCTGAAGTGCTTGTGTTTTTTCTTTAAAAAATTGCGGTATTCACCAGAGAGCTAAAATATTCCATACTGTATCGATAGACTCATAAGGTTCTGGGGTTCATTCTACATAAATAGGGTTCGAAAACTAGACCCGTTGTACCATCGAGGTGAAAATTCAAAATGGAGTTATAAAATGTCAGGTTGACGCTTTTCATTGAGGAGCCTCCCCATGAATGAAGGTTCTATCTGCGCTCAATATCGAGAAGAGATTCTCCTGATCCTCTTATCGTACATGCTGTCATCTTCTGGAATTTTCTCCACCGCATTCCTGATGGCATACTGAAGAAATTCCAATTGATTGGTCGATTTTGAATTTGACTTTTGTAAGTCAGCTGTACTCACTACACATCAGATTCAGCCATGTTGTGCGTTTTTACCCCTGGTTGATAACGAAAAAATCCAAGAAAATCACTGATGATATCAAATGTAGTACCCTAGTGAACAATTATGAAAATCATCCTTATATTTGAGAAACTATTTTCTTCGACCCTTTTGTAAAAACAGAACCCGTATCACTCTTAATGGACGAACTTTAAAAAAAGATCATTTGGACACGATGACGTTCCTTTATTTTAATCAAAAAAAGTTTACCATATATTATATATACAGTTACTTCGTTAATCTGTCCTTCAGATCCGGAGTTGTTCCTGAAAAACTGAAAATTACTAAAGTTGTACCTGTTCATAAGAAGTGTGACGCTTATCTTTAATTAATTTATAGGCCTATCACGGTGCCCTCTAGTTTCTCGAAAATCTTTGAGTATGCAATTTAGAGTCGTGAATTTTGTTGAGAATCATAACATTACTTCTTCTACTCAACACGGCTTCCCATCTAGAAAATCCATCATAACTGCCATCACATCATTCCATGCAAAAATTCTGAATAACATCGAAAATGTCGAATGCCCTGTTGGGATATTCTCAGATTTCAATAGGGCATTTGACTGCATAGATCACAGGATTTTGTTAAATACATTGTAATCGTATGGAATTAGGGGTAATGCATTTAATTGGATTGAGTCTTTTATCAAAAACAGAAGACAGTTTGTTTCAGTTACTGATCATCAGTGTACATTCAAATCCGGAACTTGAATTTTGAAAATTGGGGTCCCTCAAGGGTCTGTTTTGGCACCTTTATTATTTATATCAAATTATAATGATATAAATACCGCAGTCGCTGATAATACATGCGCGGACGATACTTCATTATTGGTATCTAATAAATGCGATATTTCCTTGGATGAGGAGTGTAAACGGACATGGTGTATTTCTGATTCTGTGTATTTCAATTGTGGAAAAACCTTCTCTATTTGTTTCCACCATCGACAAAAAACTTGTTCTTACATTGAAATAAATGCCAACAACAGTAAACTCTCTAATGTTAATGAATGTAAATTTTTAGGGCTTACATTAAATCAATGTCTGAATTGAAAAGGACATTGTAGCCAATTCACCTCAAAAAATTCATATTTGATGAGAAATCTCAAAATGAGTTCAACCACTGAACAAATAATCAATTATTATCATGCCCGTCACGAATTACATACGGCATTTGTTTATGGGGCGGTTTTTCATCAGCGATAAGTGTTTTTGGCGCACAAAAAAAGATTCTTCAAATCTTGGTCGAAGTTGATCCACAAGCATCATACAGAGACCTATTCAAGCAATACAAAATAATTACTCCTGTGGACATATTCATATTTGAAATGAGTATTTATATTCATAATAGTTTATTGAAGTTTGGACGACATAGCTCCTATCATAGTACTGGCACGAGAAATCGTAATAACGTTGAATTATAACGTTAAAGCATATAAATACAACCTAACTGCTAGTTCTCCTTTTTATTTGGGATTGAAAATGTACAGCAAGTTACCTCTTTCTCTTGGAGAGATTGATGGAATTTACGTATCCACATGCCATTTGAAAAAGTCTTTTACTGAATCATAGTTTCTATACTGTGCAAGATTTTTTTAATGTGACTGTATGATTTCTTTTCTGTATTTACATACCTCATTATACCAATACAAGTTTATGTCTTATGGAAAGTACGGAAATGTTATTATTATTTTTAATAAATAAGTGTCGCGATTTTGTAACTTTGAAGTGCAAATATCATTTTACATTATTTTTCTGAATACGTTATAATGGATTTTCATCAAGTATCGATTAGGTCTATCATACATATGGTATGCAGATTCCGCTTATACTTTTTGAAAATTCCTTCCTGGTTGCACCACCTAACCTTTTGAGTTTATTCACAGAAAAAACAGTTGGGATCGTCAGTCGAAATCCATCTTCTTGCTAACTATTGCTTAACCCAAGCTAACACACATACAAAAAGCAACAAGCGATACTTCAAGCAGAAAGACAATGAACAAAGATTTGTGATTCAGTCAGGGTTGGTAGTAACACACATTGGTTTTTTTTGTATTCAACGAACAAATTATAGCTCAACTGAGCCGGTCTTCCTCACTCTCTCTCTCGAGTTTGATGCTACCATGGCTGTCAATTCAAAACTAAAGTAGATTCGGATATATCAATGTCTATTTTACATAGGAATTGAGTTCTTCGAAGGAGTAGAGTCTTCATTACTGTTTTTTGGGTATACTACCTATCACAATCTGAAAAATAAACAAAGGTAAATCGACAGAGAATATGCTGACGTGTATAAAGGTTAAAACTGAAAAATTCACTTCAAAAAGTTATTTCATATAAACTACTGGAGAGTCTTATCAGTCAGTAACTTGAAAACTTTCGGCTCAATGAGCTTCAATTTTTTTGAGATACGTCGAAATAATTGAATGTCCAGATGTGATATGCGACATATATCAAAAGAATGCACAATTTAAGGCTAAAGTTTGAAAGTGAATTTTAGCCGGGGTGAACCTGTCGGTTTGTTCTTTATGTCCTTCAGCAAATTGTCTTTTGATTCAACTTTGTTCATTTTTCATATTGTGAAAGTTTTTATACCCAAAATTCAACTCTGACAATTCGAGGCTAAAGTTTGAAAGTGAATTTTATCTTTTTATATCACGCAGTAACTTTCCGGGGTGAACCTGTCGGTTTGTTCTTTATGTCCTTCAGCAAATTGTCTTTTGATTCAAATTTGTTCATTTTTCATATTGTCAAAGTTTTTATACCCAAAATTCAACTCTGACAATTCAGCAAAAACTATAATAATTATTTTCAATCATCCAAAAGTAATTGATATTTCATATGGATTATCTGAACTTTTCATATCCTAAGTAGTTTCCAAGTTTATTTTATCAGTTTTGTAAAAATCAGATTGAGACCTTTGGAATATGACTTATAACTGATTTTTAAATTGGAATGAAAAATTCTTTAGATGATGAAGATTTGAACTAAAATGGTAGGTACGTGACATAATTTGATAACCAAATCCTAACATACTGATCCATTTTATTATATAATATATTGTTACAAAACGATATTTTCAGCAAACAACAGATAATTCGAAACAATTTCAAAGGTTTGACTACTCGAGAATAAAACTCGTAGTTTCTGATTTTGTTTCAGTAAATCTCTCTCTCTCTCCCCCTCTCTAAAGTTGTGTACTTACTTCAAAACGTTCTATCAAGTTATAATCATTTTGAATTATACAAAATGATCTTCTTCATTTCATCAAATTGACTAATCACATGAACTTTTTTTCTGAAAATTAATACCCTTTTACGAATCACCAATGTACTGTGATGTATATTTTGAACTGTCCAAAAGTTGAGAAATAATCTTTCATGAAACTAGTAATTCTTTTATTATCAAGATTTCCAAGTCAACTCGCACAGTTCAATTATTTTATCCCAAGCCACCTCCAGCTAAAGAAGCTATTGCTGCAGAAGGTATTCCAAGTTGGCCTACTCTGGAAACTCCAGCGGATTTTGGTAAATGTTCTCCAGCAGGTTGAAATCCATTTTTGTCGGCGAGGTATTCAACATAATAGGTAACTCCATCTGCTCCAACGTAAGAATAATGACCGTACACTGAAGGATGCTCATTTTCAGTTCCTACATCTCTTTCTTCACCTTTTTGATCGTGATGGAAACCGTCGCTTGTATCAACGCTGGAAAAAAAGTTGTTGTTTCAGAAAATATTGGGTAACAGTCTTCAAAAATCTAGATCTTGGTCTTGATAACTACAAGAAATATTTTCATGAGTTTTGATTTGTTGGATGACATATTGGGGGCGTCATGACAGTTGGCATGGTCTGTGAATGTTGAAACATTCGTGACTGTACGCGCATAAATGACTGTTATGTCAAAAATCACTTGTTTTCTTCTAATTCAAAATTTATATGAAAGTGGTTGTAATTCAATGTTCATGTGGCAGTAGTTGTTTAGAAAGAGTTTTATTTTCAGTTTGTATCTGAAAAGTAAACTTCTGGTTCACGATCTAGACACACATCTTCGTGAAAAAATATTATGTTATTTTTTTTCCTTCCTTTGAACTTTTTCCACATTGTTCGTTCAATGATAGAGAAGTAAAAAGCCGAAAAGCTTTTTACTCAACATAATATTAAATTTAAAAAAAACTGTATTTATAAAATATCACAAATATACTCACACCGATTTAGTTAAAATACAACTTTTTGAAGCTTGTGTTTCCTTCTTATCTAGCTTCAATTTCGAAAAAAAAAATATTGAAACCCCTTTGCATATAACGAACACATGCTTTACCCGCTGACAGTGATAGTGTTATCATATCAATAAAAGTCAAAGTTGTCAATTAGCAGAGATTCCATCATGAATAACGTGCTAAAACATTGAGAACGCTACATGCAGGATTATGTGATACTGGGTGTTTTAATAAAAATGCAGGTGGTAGAAGACCAGAACTTGTGACAACGCCTGAACTAGAACAAGCTATATTTGATGCGATAGAAGAAGATCCTTCAAATAGTACCAGGAAGAATGCACTGTAGCTGAGATGCAACTAGACCTGATAATTTGAATCTAGATCGAACTAAATAAGCACCTCATTGCTTCAAATAACGGTAGCAAATTACAATCAAATCGGTGTAAGGATATTTATGATATTTAATAATTACCGTTTTTTATTGAACTTCAACGTCCTGTATCTCAGAAACGAAGCAACTCCGAATATGTTCATAAGAACTTTTTTCTTAAAACGACCTAACAAGGTACCCTCTGAAGTTGAAGTGCCATCAAGGTTTAGCCAACGCCTCGGTAGATAATAACATTATTCTGAGGTGGGTTAAAGGGCACGACAGGAGTGAAGGTTTAGTCAAGGAAACGGCTGGACTAAGAATTTTAGGACCCAGTGTGGCGCCTACGGCCTGATGATTTGGACAATTGCGGAACTAGCCAAACTTCACATCCATGCTCAATCCCTAAAGGGATTGGATGAAATCAAAGGATGCAATCTTGCCAGAATCACCCTCGGCGACCCTGGGAAGCTGGCTGACCAGGAAGAATCTACGCCTAACAGTAGGATTTCTCACTGGCCACTGTCAACTGAGGAAACACCTCCACAATATGGGGCTAGTGGACACACCTCTAAGCAGGATGTATGAACAGGAAGATGAAACTGTCAGGCATGTCCTATGCGAATGTCCTGAGTTAACGTCAATAAGAGAGTGTGTGTTCGACGAGTCTTGGCATACACCTGACGATATAAAGGAGATGTCTCCGAGAGACCTGTCCAACTGCCTGGAAAGGACACGATGGACGATGACCTAGGAGGACAATTCCTTGGGAGGATGTACAAAGGTTACATGTGGCCTAAATGCTGTGGGCCCACACTCACCCTCCCTACTCTACAGATACAGATACTCTCTGAATTATCGTACTGTAGTTAGGTAACACCCTGTATAAACATATGAATAGGAGTGGTGACGTAAGTTCAATGGCATTTTCAAATTTCACGGGTTACTTCATATGTTTTGTACTCATTATTTATTAGTTTTTGGCCTTCTATTTCTAAATCGAAATGGATAAGTAGAAGGACAAAAACTTTCATTTCCAAAAATGAATCTCCCCTNATTAGTTTTTGGCCTTCTATTTCTAAATCGAAATGGATAAGTAGAAAGACAAAAACTTTCATTTCCAAAAATGAATCTTTCAATGAACTGATGAGAATGAACCCTTTCAATTTTTACTCATTACATATACATAAGTCATTTTCCAAAGGCTGGTCGATACAATGAATACAAAACTATTCTTCATAAAAGCATGTAAAAAAATAGCTCCATGAATCAAATTTTACACATCATTGAAAGTCAAGTTCATTTTAATGTATGTCAATGCTGAATGTGTGAAGAAATTCCGAAATTATTGAAATGATATGTGAAGTAGGAGTTATTTTCTGTCAGAAAAAAAATATATAAGATATTTGTTTAATTGGAAAATTTTATATTCAGAGTCAACGTAGGATTGATTATTTTAGTTTCATGCAATTATCTAATGAAACGCAAATGAACTTTCATACAATGAAATTAAACTGAATCATCATAATTTCTCTGTACTCACTTGAATGAATATCTGCCAAAACCATTGTTGTCATAATCGTATCTCAGGATACGTGACTGTTTAGGATCATATCTAGACTGAGGCCTTGAGTATACTACGCAAACAAGAGCACAAGCAACTAATACCTGAAAAAATTGATTTTTTAAAGAATGAATCAATGCAGAATCATCATATATGGAATTTCGAAGATAAATATCATAACAACAATAAGGGTATAGTTTACATAAATTCAGGGCTCTTCAATTTGAAAATTATTTTCTGAACAACACCAAAAGCAGACACGCCAGATGATGATAATTGTCACAATTTAAGGAAGATCATCTAATATGTGATCAAGCTATCACTTCTACTTAATATTATGAGAAAAACTAGATAACCCTATTATACCTCCTTGACATCTTTCCATCAAAAGGATCTTGTTATTTTCCTTTTGTTTTTCAGTTTGTCATGACATAATTTTTATTGATAACTTCTCAGTATAAGGTAACACTGGAACCTCTGACGTAGAATAAATCCGAAACAAGCACTTTTCCCAAACATAAAAAAAGTTGTTTCCATCTCTTGAGAACACCCACTTGGTTCGTGAAACGCGCGTCGAGAAGAGTAATGCAATTCTGGTGAATGAAAAAGTGCTTGTTTTGGATAAAATCTGGATTGTAGAATGTTACTCTATAAACAATATCTGTTCTATGTAAATAAATTGTTTTTTGTTTAATAAATAACATCTGAATTGATTTCATTACATTAAGGGTATTTTCGAACCAACTGAAAATTATGAAACATATTTTACTAAATATTTTCACAAAAATTAGGTTTTCTGGTGTTCAACTTTTGTTTAAGAAGAACATTACTTGTACTTTACTTTCTCATAATTTGTAGTGCAGAAATCAGGAATCATTTTATTTACATTCTCAGTTGTTTTCACTGAATATATTCAAGGAATTCCAGCTCATCTATAATGAACAGAGGTTTGAAATGAGTTTTGGCTCACATTAACAGATGTCATCTTCAGAAGTTAAATTTGTTTCTACCGCATACAAATATGAACGCATCTTGAATGGAAGATCGGAGAAATATTGGTAAATAATTTTCTCTTTGTCAGCAGTTTCATCATTGTTGATTGATTTGGCATTTTGTAGGTTCATGACGCGTTGATTTCAATATTATATTGCACAATATACAATGAATTGCAGAATAACTCGTGACAATGAAATTCTGAGTACTGTAGGATGGGTGAACAATGTGATATTAAAATTAACGTCTTGATCATATTCATGGGATTTTTGTAAACTTTCAATTATTTACTTTTTGGAAATTACATATTTCTATAGGATTTTTTCAAACGTTAATATTTACACGAAATACTAAGAAGAGATGACAAATAACCTCATCTGACGCTGAGATGAATTTTTCGGGAATATTGACTCCCGTCGATTACAATATTACACAAAATTTTGTCAAAATGAATTCAGACTTCATTGAGACTGTTTCTGCTACAATGAAGACCTGGAACATACAGTGCAGTTCTTTAATGCCCCCGCCCTTTTATTTTTAGAACGAGTCAACTCAAAAAATTGAAATTTGAAATAATGAAATTAATGAATGAATACTTTATTTTGCAGTAAAATTGACAGATGAAACTTTCAAGATGGTGACTGGGCGCCATCTGGGAAAACAATTGAATAGAAAGGGGGATCTTGTGACACATCTTTTGAAGCTCCTGACAAATGCTTCACAACCCTAAAATATAATGTCAATATATTCAACTACTATAAAATGGTGGAACTTTAAATAATTGCCTGAATACATTGACATTTAACTAAATGATATGAGGTGTTAGGGAGTGCGTTAGGACCAGTGCTTTGTACAGCCCTGGACATTATCTTGTTGGGAGTACTGGATGGGACAGCCCTGAATGTCACCTGATAGGTTTACATAAGAGGATGATATATTCCTTTGTGTGGAAAAATAAGTGAGTCAGTCTGAAACTGATGTTGTTGTTGGATAAACTAATAAATAATATAAAGTAGGTGGTGTTATGAAAGTTTTCATCGTTGTTAGCCAGTGAGGCATTCCAACATCTCGAAAGAGGGAGCTACGTTGTTTTTTTTACGCTCCACATTAAATGTTTGGAGATGGCAGAACGGCGATTAACAAAACACCGTAGGAGGTCGAGTTCCTCAGAATCTTCATCTTCATCAAGTTCTGAAGATTCGTCTAGCAGCAGTGAACCCAAACGACGAGCACATAGAGAGAAATCGGGTAAACGTAAAGGTCGGAGGTCTATTTTGATTTTTGTGAAAGATGTGAGTCGAAAAATGTTTCTACAATTTCTGAGTTTGACCCAAAGTCTGATTCGGTTAGAGACTGGTTGAGTATTGTGGATCAACATGCAACATGTTTTAAATGGGACGATAATACAACAAAAACTATTGCTTTGAGTAAACTTGGAAATACTGCATCACAATGGTTTCAAACTTATATTCAAACGGAAATCGGTTGGGCGAATTATTCGTGTGCTAAATGGAAAAAAATTCTTTCTACCACATTTCAGTCGATTGGGAACACCCATAAATTTTTTATGAAACTTGCGAATCACAAGCCATTTGAGGGGGAATTATTGTACAGTTTTCATTTCGATCACCTAGCTAAAATAGAAGCATTGAAAGCGAATTTTTCTGACGCTGATAAAGTGTCACTCATTGTTGGCGGAATCGGGGATGACACGGTTGCGTCGGCTGTGAGAGCAGCAAATATTACAGATCTCAATCTAGCAAGTTATTTGAGGGACAGAACATATGCTGAGTCGGGGCCAAGTCACAAACAAATATATAACAATACTTCAAATATCAAATTAGAACAGTCAAAACCTGCTGGGAAAAATGTTAAAAATTTAAAAATACAAAGCACTCAAATTAAATGTTTTCATTGTAATAAACGGAGATACAAAAGAAGCGAGTGTAGAAGTTATAATATGAGGAAGTGCAATTTTTGTCATAGAAAAGGTCATATCGAAGTATATCATCATATATCGATTTTTACTCACAAAAAAGACAGACTGAGGTAAAATCAGAGATGTTCATAGAAAAAACACAAAAAATTAATGTGATTGAGAGTTCCAATAAAGATAAATTCTATCGAAAAATTGAAATCAATGACACTTCATTTTTGGCTTTTATTGATTTTGGTAGTGACTGTTCTATTTTGGAACATGAATTGGCACAAGAGCTTGGATTAAAAGTGTGAAAACTATCAATTCCTGCATTATTATCAGGTTTTTTAGATAACATTACGAAGGTAGACGAGATTGTCGAGTCTTCTGTGACAATCGATCAGATAACGTTGCTTTGTCGATTTTATGTTATCAATTCTTTGTCAGTTGATTGTCAGTGTATAGTTGGTAGATATTTTACTGAAAACATCGCAATCAATTACCAAAGAGAAGGCAATGACTTAACATTCAGTTATGCTCAGGATCCTTGAGAGAATTTTGAAAATAAACGACCTGTTACGTGAAAATAGTGACTGTGTAGCTTCTTCTCTCACATCACTTAAGGGTATTAGAAAGTTCTTGATGAAAATTCAACTTTGTCACCCGAAAGTAGTTGGACGAAATCCGTATATGGCACAAAGTGAAAAACCAATAGTCAGAAAGTTGGTGTCTGAATTATCAGAAGCAGGAATAATTCGCGAAAGCAGTTCTCCGTTTGCTAGTCCTATTTTGTTGGTAGATAAGAAAAACAATGAAAAATGTTTGTGTGTCGACTATAGAGAGCTTAACAAAATCACTATTGAAGAAAAATCTCCTCTCCCTTGTATAGAAGATTTGACAGATAGATTGAAGGGATGCCGATTTTTCACAAGTCTTGATTTCAAATCTGGGTACTATCAAATTCAGATGCACTCAGATTCAATAGAAAAAACAGCTTTTGTTACGCCGGAAGGGCATTACGAGTTTTTACGTATGCCCTTTGGTCTTTGTAATGCAACCGTATTTTTTCAAAAAGCTATATATTCAATCTTTAGAAAATTGAGATTTGATAAAATTATTCCATTTTAATTTTGTATGGATAATACCTATTCCTCTTCAAAAGTCTCCACACAGTAGAAGAAGACATCTCACACACATTTGCGACGGAATAAGTAGACTGTTTGGGATTTACTACCATCTCACCAATTATTTTCACTTGCTGTTCTTTCGGAATGGACGGATGACCTGGGAGCTTTTTGACATTACACTACCGGTAGTTGTGAATTTGGATACAAGTTCCCTCAAATATTTTCTACAGATAGGACGATTCAGAAAACGTTCATTGAAAATCTTTTCGGTCTCGTGAAAGTTACGCATCGCACCGTAAATAAAAATCACTTCAATTTTTTCTTCCAATGGACGAGAATTGACCATTTCAGAGATCGTTGACGTAGTACCTCTCTACTAGTAAAAATGAAAACTAAATGAGAATATTCTTAGTGAACGATGATGTTCATTGTCGTACTAACATTTTTTGTTGTTTTTATAAACAAAAAATAACTGAACAAACCTTATAGGGTTGTTGGAATTGCCATATGGCAGATAAAAAGGAATATTTCTGGAAATATGGATATTAATGTGTTTGTCTTCAGGAAATTATTGAATGTTTCGCCATTTTGTAGTAGGTGAAGATATTGACTTCATATCCTAGGGTTGTGAAGTATTCGTCACTAGCTTCAAAATGATATGTCGCAAGACGCCCCTTTCTATTTGATTTTTTTTACCAGATGGCGCCCAGTCGGCATTTCGAAAGTTTCATCTGTCAATTTCAATTCATAATAAAGTATTCATGCATCAATTATTTTATTTCAAATTTCAATTTTTTGATTTGACCCGTTCAAAAAATAAAAGAAATGTACTGTATAATGGCTTTCGTTTAAAATAATACCAATGTATCTCATCCTCAGAAGTGCTGGAATTCATTTTTGATTCTGAAGGTACTATTTTATCCAGTATAATTATTATAAAATTTTTACAATAAATTTCATTCAACACACGTATTGCTATCAGTTACTAGTACTTCAAACTATTACACAATATCTTTTTATAACAATAGGAAATGACAAAATTTATTAGAGGCATGAACAAATCTGG